TTTTCCGACGGAATTTTCCGTCGGAATATCCCTTTTTCGACGAAAATTCCTGTCGGAACATCTCCCCCACCAACGGAAATTTCCGTCGGAACATATCCCACTCCGACGGGAATTTCCATCGGAAACTTGCGACGGATTTTCACCTACAGTCAACAAAAGCGCCGACAGAACAAAATCCGTCGGAAATTCCGTCGGAAAGGTCTCTTTCGAAGGAATATCGAAAATTCCTACAAAAGGTCTTCCGACAATGCTTTCTAACGGAATTTCAGGGTTTTCTGACGGATTTTTTCTGTTGTTGATTGACTGTTTTCTAGTAGTGTTTAAGTGAAAATCCGTCACAAGGTTTCGACGGAAATTTCCGTCGGAGTAGGATATGTTCCGACGGAAATTTCCGTTGGTGGGGGAGATGTTCCGACGGAATTTTCCGTCGGAGGAGGTATATTTTGACGGAAATTCCGTCGGAAAAGTAAATAAAAAAAAGGCACCACAATCCCCACCCAGATCCACCCTCGCCACCAGCCCACACCACCCACCACGTCCCCAACCCTTTTTCCCACACCTAGACACCCCACCCCACCCACACCCAGACATCCCACCCCACCCCACCTAGATCCAGACACCCCACCCCACCCAGACCCAGACCCACAAAACCAAACCCAGACCCATCTCCCCACCCAGACACCCCATCCCACCCAAACCCACCAAACCAAACCCAGACCCATCTCCCCACCCAGACACCCCACCCAGACCCACCAAACCCAACCCAGAACCACCAAATAATCCACCAAACCTCCCCCACGCCACCCACACCACAACAACCCCACCCCATAACCACCGACACCACCAGAATAGCCCACCCCACCACCATCGACACCACCACACCACCACCATTAACCCTAAAAAACCAGAAAAAACCCCAAAAAATTCAAAAAACCAAAATTAAACAAGGAAAATTAATAGAAATGTATAAATATATAATTGTCTAATAAATTTTATAAATTAACATTACAATTACATATACAATTAATTAGATCTAAACGTTTATTCAAAAAAAAAAAAACTAGATCTAAACACAAACCTAAATTACAAGATCTACAATTGATGTTTAGGTTGTTGTTGATGAAACCGAGTCAAGCCTCGTTTCGACGCCGAACCTCAGTCGTCCCCAGAAAATTCGTCGGAAAATTGGAGCCATTTATGGGTGTTAAAGCTTCGGTGAGTGAGGGAAGCCGTTAATGGGTTGCGGTGAAAGATAAGGTGAGGAGAGAGGAGGAGAGGAGAGAGAAAGAGGAGGAGGAGAGGAAGAGAGGAGAGAGAAAGAGAAATGAATAGGAAGAGATGCAAAAGGGGCGGGGAGAGAGAAAGAGAAATGAAAAGGGAAGGGGGTAGGGGGTCCGGTTTTAGTTTAAGGGTTTATTTTTTTTTCTTTTCTTTTTTAAATAAATTTCCTTCGGAAAAGGCCTAAATTCCGTTGGAAATTTCCGACAGATTTAAAACCGTGGGAAATTAATAGGTTCCGACGGATTATTTTCCCTCGGAATTTAAATGTTCCGACGGAATTTTCCGAGGGAATATTCCGTCGGAAGCAGTAAATTCCGAGGGATTTTCCGTCGCAACTTATATTTTCCGACGGATTTTTTTTGACAGGCCAAAATTCCGTCGGAATATTTGAATTTTCCAACGGAATTTAAGTCCGTCGAAACAAATCCGTCGGAAAACGGCCTATTTCTAGTAGTGCAATTACCAAAAATATATCCCACAGAATATATCCCAATATAACCCCTGTCAGCTCCCCTTCCCCAAAAACCACCAAACTCGCCCACCCGAAAACCCACGGAAAACCTAAAAATGACCTCCTGCCGCAAAAAAAAACCCCAAATGGCTAGGGTTCTGGTGGTGGGGAAAGGGTCGTTTGGGGTTGGGCGCGACGGTTTGGGGTGGGGGGGAACTTGGGCTGGCTGTGGGAGAAGGTTGGCCGTGGGGGTTGCCATGGGTTGGGGATGATGTGTTTTTATTTAATTTTTTTTAGTTTATTTTATTTTAGTTTATTTTATTTTCAGCTAATCATACAGTGACACATGTTACAAAAATAAATTATTTTTTTTATCTTTTTAATCGGTTACCGATCACTCGGTACTGTTTTGAGCGGATGACCCCCAGAATTGGGATTATTTAAAGCAAATACGCGAAAGTTAAGATTATTTTTATAATATTTCTAATTATAATTATACAAGACTTAATTTTATTTTTATAAAAGAGTGATCCAAAGAAAATGCGACATTTTTAAAGGGGGGTGGATGGGGTGCTTTTATGCGTGTAGGGCATCAAATTTGTTAGGTCAAAAACTAAAAATTCCAGCCTTGTGCTGCCACCCACAATATGAGAAAAATGAAGCAAAGACCTGTTAGCAGTTAGGTGAAATTTCCGAGTACAACCAATTTATTCCAAAAATTAAATAGAATTCCTTAAACATATACAAGCAAATTCAAGCTAGACGTAAGATAAATATGGAGTAAAACGTATATGTATTGTACAACATATATATGAGCACACGATTGTAACAATATCGACTTTCAAAACATATTTTGTTTTTTACTCTAAACTATTACGATATGCGAAGTAACTGAATAATTATTACGAGTATATGCATAGATATCATATTATTTCTTTCCAATTCAAGTACCAATGGTTAAATGTATAACATTGATAATTGATGATGAAAATATCTTGATAAGGCACATCAACTCATTGCGTAAGTGGTGTTGTGTGTATGCATATTCATGCAACAAGCAAAACTGGCTCAATCACTTAGTGAGAGACTTGCTTTAGATCCTAAGATCCCTCAACTCCATTTGTTTTTGTTCTTATTAAGAGTTGAGAGAGGAACAAATGAAAGCATTGAAGAATGACAAGAATCCTCATTTTATATAAAAAGGAATTTGAAAAAAAAAAGGTTTGATTTCAAATATTAAAAAGATAAATTTGAATTTGATACAATTTAAGATAGTAGAAAACATAAATAATTAGAATTTTATTTCAAAAATAAAATACTAGTAGTATTTAAAACAAACTAAGGTTATTTCTATTATATTCAAAAAAATAAAATTAGTAGAAAAATTGATTGAAATAGTAAATACGACAAGAAAAAAAACCAACAACAGATAGAGTATCATTTTTATGATGACTTTATTGTACGCCTATTTTATTTAAGAGTTTGTGATCTTCTTTTTGACTTATTTTATTATATGTTAATGCATTCAGATTGTTTTCCCCATGATGTTGTAATTGATATTGTTTCCAAATCTGTGAAGATTTTGTTCACATTATACATCCATTAGGCCATTATTATTTTGACTATGGCCTTTCTAACAATATCAATGGGCAACTACATGGATTTTGTATAGATAATTTTTGGGTTGCTTTGCTATCAAAATCAAAGATAAATCCTACAAAATTGAGTAAAAATAATAGGATGGTGTCTCTAAAAAAAATAATAATAGTAGAATGGTGAGCACAAAGGGAAATTATTTAATCTCTACTGACTTTTAAAAAAAATTAATAATTTATGTTTGAAAATATTCTTATATCTTTCAAAAAAAAAAAAAAAATCCTTATAAAAATCATCTCAATGTGTATTTTTTTATATGTGAACTTTCTATTAAAAAATTATTCTTATTACTTATTCTTAGTACTTACAAAGTACAAAGTATATATACTTGTTAATATCAGAATAAATTAGAAAAATTTAGACCACATTAGATCAGATTTTCTGAAGTACGTTGGCTTATTGTCATATTTCTTTAATTTACATTTGTAAAAATTATGAAAATTGAAAAATGCACATTGAGACGAATCAATGAGACCTCCCTTGATAATTTTATTTTTTCTTATACATTGAGGTCAAAGTTTAATTAAATTAGACAATCTGAGTAAATCAAATAAGGAAAGTTCTAAATTTCTAACTAGACCAAATTATAAATTAAAAAAGGGAAATTCTCTTTGATAACACTATACTTTTAAGTTTTCTTAGAGGTGAATTGCAAAAAAACTTATTATCTTTGGTATATTAAGCTAACTATAACATTAATGACTAATTTTAACTAAATATTTAACTATAGTTAGGTTTTTTTTTTTTATTTTATTTTTTACATTTAAATGATTTTAAAAATAATTTTAAAACTAATTTCTTTTTTTTTTTTTTAAAAAAAAAATCACCCCTTCCCCGACTATCATCCCACCACGCCGGCGCCCACTCCCCTGCCCCAACCCACGCCGGTGCCCAATCACCTCCCTCGCCGGCGCGCCAGCCTCCCCAGTCCGCCGCACCTATCCCCTGTCCCTGAAACCCACTTCCCTTCCCCTCGAAAACCCTAGGAACCACCCACGAAATCCCGCAGCCGCCCAATCCTCCACCATCAAAAACCCTAATCGACCCTTCCCCACCTTCGAAACCGATTGGTTTTTAGAACCATGGCCTTCGTCCTGAAGCACCGCCTTTGATTTTCGTCGTTGAAATCGATTGATTTCGTTCTGATTTTCGCTAGTGGTTTGGGTCGTGGGTTTGGGTTCGATCTGGCGGAAGAGAGGGAGGTTGCAGTTGCGTGGAAGGAGGAGAAAGAGAGGAGGATTGTGGTTGCGGTGCCCGGTGGGAGGAAAGTGCTCGGTCAGAGGAGGGATAGGAAAGGTCGTGGGCGGTGGTTTTGGCTTTTGGGGTTCCGCGTTGGTGGTGGTCTGGGCAGAGGAGAGATTGGTTTTTTTTCTTTTTCTTAAATAATTTAATTATTAAAAAGTAAAAGAAATTAACCATGGTTAGTGAGTTTATATTAAAATAGCTATTCTCTTTGATAATAAAAAATTCGAGTTTGTCAAAGATAATAAGTTTATTTTGCAATTCACCGTTGAGAAAACTTAAAAATATAGAATTATCAAAGAAAATTTCCCATTGAAAAATTCAGATTATACCACCTTTTTATTTTTTGAGGAAAGATTCGACCACCTTAAATTAAATGAAGAAAATATAACCTAAAGCCAATTAAGATCAAGATTTTATCAAAACTACAAAAGCGTTTATTATGACAATTAAATTGAGACGGTGGGACCATAGGAGTATAGGACACCCATCATGTCTAAACGTTTCTCCATAACAGTTAATTTCTCAGTAGACAACAAAAAAAAAAAAAAAAAAAAAACGGATAGTAACTGAAAAAATAGGAAAAATGAAAAGAAAGTTGCACAAATAAATATTTTCAAGCAGAGAGAAAAAAGAAGAGAGAGAATTAGATATGGAGCGAATTTGCTTATTCTCCCTTTCCTCCCGTACTGTGTGTTGTACAACTCGGATTTTCAGTTTTTTTTTTTTTTTTTTTTTTTTTTTTTTTTTTTGCACAATCAAAGCCCACTTCCCTCTTCCCTCAACTTTTGCTGCTACATTCTGCTACTGCAGACGACAGTTTTTATTTATAATCTATTTATTTATTTATTTGTTCATAAATTTGTTTAACGTTTTGTTCTCTCTTTTTCCCCTGAAATCCTCCCTAAAAATCCAAATGATTCTTTCTCACCCTCCCTAATTTCTCTCTCTTCCGTACTTCCTCTCCCTTAATACTTTAAACTACTCCTTACCCACTTCTTAAATCATCCAATTTCATCATCATTTGGTTCTTTTTTTCATTTCAAGGTGAACTTTTTCTTCCTTTTTTCTGGGTTTGTAATGAAATTATTGGTTTTGTTTGTGTTTTTTTGATGAAATTATCTTGTGGGGTTGTTTTGTTTTGATGTTTTTTTTAATGGGTATCTTCTGTTTTCCTGTTTTTTCTCCTTAATCTGATTATGGTTTGATTAATATGATTGTTGGACCTTAAATTATTGGTTTATAATGTTTTGCTTTGATTTCATCTTATAGTGTTAAGAAATCCTGCAAATTTCGGAAGGAAATTTGTAATTTCATGAATATCATCAACTTTAGCATAAGTTTGATTAAGCTTGATATCTTTGAGAATTGTGAGAATGCTTGTGATAAGGGTAATCCTACTTTTTTCTATATTTCTTGAGGTGTTTATTTTCCTGGATTCTTAGTTTGTTTACTGGTCTTTTTGGTTGATTGGCTTTTTGTTGAACTTAATGAAGTTGTTCATATTTACATTGTTTCATATGATACGTAGTTTTTGTGATGTATTCATGATATAATGCTTTACTCATTTCATATTCTTAGTTTGTTTACTGGTCTTTTTGGTTGATTGGCTTTTTTGTTGACCTTAATGAAGTTGTTCGTATTTACATTGTTTCATATGATACTTAGTTTTTATTTTGTACTCATGATATATGCTATGCTTTACTCATTTCACGGTGCTTGATTATAAGCACAATCAAAAGGTAGTGTGCAAACGGGTCTCACCGTTTCGAACTGTGTTTCTTTGATGGAAGGGGTGATGTGGAGGCTGAGAGTTGTTTGACCGGTTCTGTTTTGGGTATTGCGGCACATGAATTTGCAAGTAGCTCTTTCTCTTTCATTTGATGTAATGTGCTTGGAATATATTATAAAATGTCCTTAATAATTGAGTTTTAATACTAGTTTGGATGGATTTCCTGCAGGAGCATGTTTGGAGCTAATGATACTAATCCTATGCTTCCTATTCATATGGAGAGTGTCAGGATGCCATACAATGCCAATGTAGTGCCGTCAATGCAATTGGATGGTTAGTTCCGTTTGCTGATTTCTGTTTGCCTGAATGCTTGTTGGTATTCTTTATAATCGGATTTCTAATATTACTTGTTTAGTTAGACTCCTGATATGATCATATGAGTGGTGAAGCGGTTGGTATTTATGTCTTATTCGTCTATTGAAGATTTGCTTCCTGTTGGTGTTTATGTAGGGAGTTGGTTAAGGAGATAGTGGTTTTCGGTAGTTTGCATACTGCCGTTGGGTTAATGCTTTATTTTGATGTGATTTTCTTCCTCTATGCTTGTGTATTGGGAGTCAGTGATTGAGTGTTGAGTTAGTTGTTTTTGTCAGTTTGGTTACTTTGGTTGGGGTGTTGGATAATGCTTGACAAGTAACCTCAAAATCACAATTGTCTTGTTGTTGATTGACAAGTAACCTCTGAAGCACAATTATCTTGTTGGTTGATTGACAAGATTTTCACAATTGATTGTCTGTTTGCCCCTGCCTCATAGTTCAGTATAAGAACAAGTGGTTTCCAGTGTGGTTTTGCTAAGGTTGATGTAGTTGGTTGGAAGACTTGCAACAGCTTTTCATGGTTTTCATCAGTGTCATTTACATTTCACTGTCCTGCTTTAAATTTGACTTGCAGTTTTATGAATAATCCCGTTCTTGTTCTTTTGGTTGTTGCAATTTTGGGATTAACACCAGAATGTGTTGCATTGATCTATATGGCAGCTCTCTTTGGCTGTAATGATATAATGAACATGGCTGGGGACAAGAACTTATCCTTTGTGAATCCACCTGAGAAATTAGGAAGGGGTACACCAGTATTCAGCCAGCAGCATAAGCTTCCTGTGACATCGTATGACAATTTTTGCCAGAATGAAGCAGGGCAAGCCAGGAATATGTTGAAGCAAATCCCTGTCTCCACTGGGCTCAAGCTTTCATATGGAGAAGAGGAGCACAATTCTTCCATCACATCTGCTGGTGAAGGTGTAGTTGTTAATCTTTCATCGATGCTGTCACATAATGACAATCTGCAAACAGAGTTTGTGTGGCAGAGTGATGAATTTGATCAGTATATCAGGATCCAGGTGCATTTTGCTAATTTTGTGTTTATTTAGTGGTTGCCACGTAACATCCCCCCCCCCCCCCCCCCCCTCACACACACACACACACACACACACACACACACACACACACCCTCCTCCAGAATAAAACTGTCACATAATCAACTTGCTTGTTATTATATTTAGCTGAACATAATGTATATGTCTATTGAGTAATATTGATTGCTGCTTATTAAAGTCAGAGTGGATGGTATACACCATTTTTGTCTGGTTAAACAAATTTACTCCCATTGGATAGTCATATGTAGTTATTCAAGCTATGTGCTTCTTTGATTGGATAGTGTTACACAATCAATATCAAATGGAAATAATTGATCAGATTTATTGTGTTATTATTGATTGCACAAGTAGTATCAGATGAAAACAGTTGTTTTCATAAGTTTTGGCGCTTTAGAAACACACATGTATAATTTTTTCGTCAGGCCATTATTTGTTCAAATAATCTGAGTCTTAGCTTTAAGTTTCTAACTGTTTGCCATATTGAAAATCACATATAAGTTGGTTTGTACTTCAGGTCAGAAGTTATCAGGAACTTGTGTGCTAATTTCTATGTTTATGAATGCATTTTATTATGCCTAATCTGCCATTTAAAACAGGAGGAAAACATTAAGAAGGGCATTGCAGAACTGAAGCATCGGCACACAGTTTCTTTATTGAATGCTCTTGAGAAAGAAGTCAGTCACAAAATACATGAGAAAGATGTTGAGATAGAGAACTTGAACCAGAGAAACAAGGAGTTGATGGAGAAAATTAGGCAGGTAGCTTTGGAAGCTCAGTCGTGGCACTTGAGAGCAAAGCAAAACGAGTCTCTTGTAAATGTCTTAAGGAACAACATCAATCAAGTCGTTCTACAAGGCACTACCTTGTTGAAGGAAGGTTGTGATGAGAATATGGCAGATGACACTGTTTCTTGCTGTAATCAGAATCTTCAAGATCCATCAGCCAACCATCAAAACCATCTCCCCTCAGTGAAAGAGCTGGTGCATTGCAAAGCATGCAAAAGTAAGGAGGTTTCTTTTTTGTTGTTGCCTTGCCGGCACTTGTGCCTTTGTACAGATTGTGATGTTTTCATTGACATTTGTCCTGTTTGTCGAGTGAAGAAAGCAGGAAGCTTGCAAGTATACATGTCTTGAAACTGAAAAATTAGACCTGATGAATTTGTTGATTAACCAAGTTATATATCAAAAATTCTTGTAGGATTTTTTTTCCTTACTGTCTTCTCATGTTGCGTTATGGCGGCCTAAAGTCTTAGTCTAGACCTTCATTTTGAGTGATTTCTGTTGTGCATAAGCAATGAGGAAATACTTCTTGGTGGTATCATCTTGTACAAGGATGTATCAAGTATTTTTTAAGTACAAATACATACATAGTTGTATTGTATTACTCATAAATGAGTGTCTGATTTGGTTCTAACCATAATTTCTTGCTAGTTGAGAGAAATGGGAAAAGGTCTGTTAAGCTGAATTGGGAAGATTGAAGTGCTTTTAAGCTACTTGTGTGATGTTTCATATTCATGTCAATTGACATTGTCAAGTTAGTATTGAGAAATAGATTTGCCCTTAATACAAAAAATTTAATTCCCAACAAATATGAGACAAATAACAATAGATTATTTTGGGAAGGTTTTACCAAAATAGAAATTGTTTGTGCATTATGAATTTTCATATTACTTTGAAAAAGATAGATAAAACATGATATTAATGTTAAATTGTTGCTATATTTATAATATACATGGACAACATGGTACTATTCTAGCATGAAATGAATCATTTTTGTAACACAACATTGAAAATCATCTACATTGAAAATCATCAAGATAATATATCATCTTTGCTATACGATATACAAGTATGCCACTAAATGTGGTGGTGGAGTCGAGATTAAGCTACATCATAAGTTCTACATTTTACTTATGTGAAATAAAATGATATAAGCATATTACATTCAAAAATTCACCTTTCTTGTAATCCATAATATCACAAAAATATAAGCATGATTGCATGTTTGATTATGATTTTTTTTTTTAGCTCCTCATTTACCCCATTTAATTAACAACATTCAAAGTATTTCTTTTTAATCAAAATCTCCACTCATTCCTTATTACACACCAACCCACCAAAATTTCCCATCCAACTCCAAACCCAAAAAAAGTAGGAGTATATTCCAATTTCCATATTGACAACTCCATTCACCAACCCCAACAAAATAGAACCAAATTCATTTCATTCCTTCTTTCCCTCAAAATTAAGTCAAATTCTTACCAAAAATAAATCAATTAATCCCACAAAATTTGGACATTACCAAAATTAAAAATTAAAAATTAAAAATAACATTGTCATAAATAAAACCACCAATAAAAAAGCAGAATAAACACAACCATTTTACATATTCTCTCTCACTCCTGCTCTTCGGCGGAGCCTCCAACGCTTCTTCTTCGTCTTCCCCAAATCTCCTAAAATGCAGAGCTCTGCAATTTCAATCTCACCTTCAATTTCCCACCTTAAACCTCTTCAAAACCCTAATTTTCAAAATCGTCCTCTTTTTTCGATCAATTCACTCCCAATTCGACCTTCTCTCTCTTCCGCCGCCACTTCAGCTTCACGGAGGTTATCCGTTGTTAGCAGTTTGAGTGATGAGTCCAGTTTTAATCTGATCCGTCGATCTTCTTCGTCGAGATTTGATGGGTTGGTTTCTTTGCCATCGTTGAAGGGTAAGAAGCCGTCGGAAAAGGAGGATGAGCTTGTTGTTAAAGCGACGTCGTTGCCTGAGAGTGCTGATGCTGATGAAGCTCCTAAAGCGATTTCTCGGACTTTGGAGCTTGGGATTTTGTTTGGGCTTTGGTATCTTTTTAATATCTACTTCAATATTTACAACAAGCAGGTTGCTATTTTTCGCCATTTTTGTTCATATTTGTTTACAATATGTTAATTTTTGTTTGTTTTTTACGTGATTTTTGTCTAGTATATGCTAAAAATATGAAATTTTAGATGTATTTTGATTGGCCGATATTTTTCTGCTAAAATTATATAAAAGAGAAAAAAATTTGGAATTTATTTTATTAATAAGGAAATTTTTAGGTTTGAAGTTGTTGTAATAGAAGGTGAGAAGACAATGATGCGGAGGTTATACTGTTCGATTGATTGTTTTTTATTCCCTTGTAATTTGGGCAATGGAGTGAAATGGTGTAAGTCATACAGTGATACTAGACTGATGGATTACAAAGCAATTTTGATAGCAATGATGGGTTTTGTTGATTGCAGCATCGTGTTCGGTGTGTACATCTTTGATTGTTCTTTAAGTTTTGAAGCTTCTTGATGATTGCTTAAGCCCTGTTTAGGTGTTGGAGTGCTATTTTCATCTAGGTTTTGAAATATAGGATTAGTATTGGTGGGAATTCGAGGCTGTGACAGTGTGACTGCGCTATTTTAGAGGGTATTGTCTTTGAATATATGGATTGGGAATGTGTTATATGTGTTTAGAATAGCAGAAGTATAGAGAATGTTTTTAGGGTTAATTTTTCTGTGTATTACTCTGTAGAAGATTGGTACATTTAAACAGGAGGAAACAGAGAAAAATAAGGATACTGTTATACAAGATATATGCCTAACATAATTAGTCATATTCTGTTCCTATAATTAAGGAGCTAAATATGACTATTTCCTACACTCAAGTTGGGCACTCGGAATCCCAATGCCTAACTTGCGCAAAGTATTACTGAAGGCTTCAGTACTGACGACTTTTGTTAGGATATCTGCCAACTGATCCTTTGATCGAACAAATGGAAGTTTGACGATCTTATCTTCTAGCTTGTCTTTGATGAAGTGTCGATCAATCTCAACATGTTTTGTTCTGTCATGCTGAACAGGATTTCCAGAAATACTTATTGCTGCCTTGTTGTCACAAAACAATTTACAGGCTGTTTTCTAAGGAAAACCGAGCTCATTTAACAATTTTCTAATCCACAGGATTTCGGTTATCCCTTTCACAATTCCTCTGAACTCAGCTTCTGCACTTGACAAGGCTACTACTTTTTGCTTCTTGCTTCTCCAAGTGACAAGGTTTCCTCCTACCAAGGTGAAGTATCCAGAAGTGGATTTCCTTCCATCCCAGTCCCCGGCCCAATCTGCATCGGTGTAAGCAATTAAATCGAGGTTATCATTTTTGCCAAAATAAATCCCGGTGCTGCTTGTACCCTTTAGATATCTCAGGATCCTCATTATTACGGCTGTCATGTGATGTATTTGAGGGAGATGCATGAATCTACTTACTACCCCTACTGCATATGCGATATCTGGTCTTGTGTGGGCTAGATAGATGAGTTTTCCCACAATCTTCTGATATTGTTCCCTATTGGTTGCCTTTGCCCCTTCTACGATATGAAGACCATGATTTGCTACAATTGGAGTGTCAGCCGGCTTACATCCTAACATTCCAGTTTCAGCTAAAAGATCGAGAATATACTTTCGTTGATGAATAAAAATCCCTTGCTTAGATCTTAGGACTTCTATACCAAGAAAGTATTTCAGGTTTCCCAGGTCTTTTATCTGAAATTCTTGAAATAACTTCCCTTTCAAGGCAACAATTTCTTCCTCATCATCTCCGGTGATGATCATATCATCTACATATATGATTAGATAGGTGATCTTCTGGTTTGCCCTTTTTATGAATAAAGTGTGATCAGAATTACTCTGGCTATATCCGAACTTCTTCATAGCCTTAGTAAACCTTCCAAACCAAGCTCTTGGGGACTGTTTTAAACCATACAGGGCCTTCTTCAACTTGCATCCTTCTCCAACCTCAAAATCATGAGAATATCCTTGGGGAGCTTCCATATAGACCTCTTCTTCAATGCTTCCATGAAGGAAGGCATTTTTGACATCAAACTGATACAAGGGCCAATCTTTATTTGCTGCTATAGAGAACAACACTCGTATCGTATCTATCTTGGCTACCGGGGAAAACGTCTCTGAATAATCGATCCCATAAGTCTGAGTGTAGCCCTTGGCCACCAATCTTGCTTTGTATCTTTCAATAGTTCCATCTACCCGGTGCTTAATGGAGAACACCCATCTACATCCCACCTTCTTCTTTCCTCTAGGCAGGATACATTTTTCCCATGTCTGGTTCTTTTTCAAGGCAACATACTCATCTTCCATAGCTTGTCTCCACTTCTCATCTTCAAGAGCTTCTTCCACGGTTTTAGGAATGGTTGTGGAGTATAGGGAGGCGGTGAAGGCAACAGCTGTGTTAGACAAGTTTTCATTGCTGATCTTTTCTATGGGGTATTTAGACCGTTGGTCTTCATATTCCGGGTCATATCTTTTGGGAGGAACACCTCTCGTGCTTCTGGGAGGTAACTCATATTTGTTTAGACAATTTTCACTAGGAACAGATACAGAGTCAGTAGGAACAGTACATGATTCATGGTTTTCAGAGTTTACCTCAACTGATATTGACTCAGGGTGCTCAGTGGTCGCCATTGGAGTGGATTGAAGAGAAGGAGCTGATACTGACGTTTCAGTGGCAACATCAGTGGTATTGCCTACTTGTGTTGGAGGGTCATGGTCCATCATTTCTGGATATATTAACCAGCTAAGGTCATCACTCGTAGTCTCCCCTTGAGGACCAAGCTGGGTATAGTAATAGGAGTGTTCAAAGAACTCACATTCAAGAGTGGTGTAGATTTTATTTTGAATGGGATCATAGCATTGGTACCCTTTTTGATTAACCCCATACCCAATAAAAACGCATTTAATGGCTCGTGGTTCAAGTTTATTTCTAACCCTTTTTGGAAGATGAACATAGACAACACATCTGAACACCCGAGGAGGTAAAGAATGATAGGATGGAATGGAAACATGGGAAGAAAGAGTGCCAAGAGGTGTTTGGTAGGCAAGAGGTTTTGTAGGTAGTCGGTTGGTTAAATATGTGGCTGTGGCAATAGCTTCTGGCCAAAAATGGACAGGAACATGGGATTCTAACATAATGGCTCTAGTAATTTCAAGAAGGGTTCGGTTTTTCCGTTCAGCTACCCCGTTTTGTTGGGGAGTATCCCGGCAGGTGGTCTGGTGAATAAGGCCGTGATCAGAATTAAACTGTTTCATATCCAGGTTTATGTATTCTCCCCCGTTATCAGATCGGAGGATTTGGGGATGGGCATCGAATTGAGTACAAATCATGTTGTAGAAATTTATAAACACATCATACACTTTAGATTTATTTTTTAGAAAATAAACCCAACTCATACGGGTGCATTCATCCACAAACAAGACAAAATAAGAATAGTTATGAAAAGCAAATTCAGGTGCAGGACCCCATACATCAGAATGAATTAAAGTAAATGGTCTAGCAGCATGAGTCAAACTAGGAAAGTAAGAGTGTTTATGGCTTTTTGCAAGTACACATGCTTCACAATCCAAAACAAAATCAATGTCCTTAAAAGAGGGAAATAATCGTTTAAGATAACCGAAAGATGGGTGACCTAGCCGTCGGTGCCACATCCAGATCTGATATTCCGGTGACCCATGAGCAAGCAAAGCGTTACCCTGTTGGGTCGCCTCGTCCACATAGTATAGGCCTCCTCGTTCAATACCACGACCAATGATCCGCCCTGTCTGAGCATCCTGTACAATACAATCAGAAAAAGTCATTAGAATTGTACAGTTTAGTTCCTTGGTTAATTGACTAACGGATAAGAGTTTGTGAGTAAGACTCGGAATTAAGAGACAATTTTTGAAATGAATTTCTGATGTAATATCTACATCTCCGACCTGAGTAATTGGAATAAATTCCCCATTTGCAGTCTGAATCTTGGTACAGGTAGTGGATTTGGAGGAATGAAAGTCGGACGGGTCGTAGGACATAGTGTCTGTGGCCCCACAGTCAAAAATCCAAGTGGATTTATTGCACATGAGGCCCAAACCGTAAGTTGTATGAAGGGAAGGAGTGTATTGGGCTTTAGTGGGTTAGGGCTTCTGATTTAAAAGGAAAAAAATGAGGGGTACAGGGTGTTTGAGGGTTTCCGGTTTTTATGTTGTGGGTTTCATTTGTTGCCTCACAGAAAGTTTTAGAGGAAGCTTCCTCTAGAAACCTTCCATGTCCTTTTTCCGTCAATTCCTCCGTTTTCAGCCAGAAAATCCGGTGAACCCATCCTCGCTACTCGTACCTGTTCGCCTGTCAGTGACGGTAGGTGGGTCCCCACTGGTATTGGTCGGTTCGCCTTCTCCGATGGCGGCATTAGCCTTGCCGCCGGTCTTTGTGGCCTTGGTGGCGGCTTTGCGCTGTCTTAGGTCCTCCCACCATTCTGGGTAGCCGATGAGCTTAAAACACCCCTCCTTGGTGTGTTTTGTCCCCCCGCAATGGCTGCACTTTAGGTGGTTTTTATCCTCTCGCCGGGATGAGGAATCCGAACGACGTTGAGCGACGAGACCACTTCCAACCTCTGAGGGACCTCGTCCCAGTGATGAGTCGCCGGTCATTATACCGCGACGGGCAATTTCCCGTTTGATAGAGGCATACGCGGCATCAATGGTTGGAAGGGGATCTAAATACAGAATATCTCGTTTTTCCTTGTCAAGCGAGTCATTCACACCGGCCAAAAACTGATACAACCTCTGTCGTTGTATAAACGAGTTAAACAATGTGATGTCCTCTGCGCATTTCATCGGGTTGGGCATTCGTCTATCAATTTAATTTGCTAAAATACACCTCTATAGTGTCAGTCCCTTGTTTCATAGAAGCAGCCTTCGAATTCAGATCATAGGTCTGCAGTTCATCTCTCCCGCTACTGAGGAGAGTCTCAATACCTTTCCATAAATCTCGGGCAGTTTTATAGTCCAAGAACTGGTTTACAAGGTCTCCGTCAATATTCTCAATGATCCATGAAAGAACCATCGAGTCTCTTTGAGCCCATTGCTGGTACTCTGGATCGTCTGGTGAAACGGGGTTGGCGATGATGTGATTGAGCCTTCCCCGGCCACCAATCGCTATCTGCATCAGTTTACACCATTTGGTGTAATTGGTGAAGTTCAGTTTTTCAGCGACACGCACTGTTTGTGAGGTCCCTGTTTCGGTGTTGGTTGGGTTTTTGTTGAGTTTTTGAAACATTTGAAACATTTGTTCCATTTGTTCCATAGAAATAAGTTGGTTGGTGTTTTCCGGTGATTCTTCCATCACAGGTAAGTTACGGTAGATGATGAGCACCAGAAAAAGAACGATCTCCCGAGGATCGACCTTACGGCTCTGATACCATGTTTAGAATAGCAGAAGTATAGAGAATGTTTTTAGGGTTAATTTTTCTGTGTATTACTCTGTAGAAGATTGGTACATTTATACAGGAGGAAACAGAGAAAAATAAGGAAACTGTTATACAAGATATATGCCTAACATAATTAGTCATATTCTGTTCCTATAATTAAGGAGCTAAATATGACTATTTCCTACAATATGGAGTACTTCGTATTGTATTTGGGTATTCGAGGGTCCGTTGGAAATGTGGAATTATGTGGAGAGATGTTTGAGGATCTGGTGGAGCTGTGGAGGTATGTGGCATTTAAAGTGCAGGAGGCAGGGGTATAGTAGAGGTAGTGTAGGTGATGTTTCCTACTGTTCCTTTTGCATAAGGTGATCAACTTAGGCATTAAATTTTAGTGTTGTTGCTCAAATTTTGGAGCTTGGGAGTCTGTTTGGAACTTTGGATTTTGGCATCTTTGTAAAATTTACTATTGGACTGCCTCTCTTTCATAATATGAGGCACCCTCACTTTTGGAACTCAGGAGTTAATGATTAATTTGCTTAATTCTCACATGGGTAAGATCATTAGTGAAAATACAGTGAATTGCTTTCAAGTGTGAATCTAATCATAGATATTATTAGAACTTTAGTCAAATATTTTGAGAGAAATTTATGCTCAAAGTTTGTCCTTAAATTTTATGGGTGTCTTGTATCATGAACTGAGGATGTACTCTACAACAGCCAGGTATTATGGGATTATTCTACATTAAGTCATTTGGATATAGGTTAGATTGCTGCTTTTCAATGAAATAGCTTTCTCTGAAAGAGAGTACAACTGTACAAGGATGCGTCACTCTGTTTTGCAGACTTGTTGCATGTGTATAAAAAAGTTCTTCGTACATGTTCATGGAAAATTGTATTGATCTGAGGCACATAGGTAAACATCGATACAAAGCAGTGATTCTCTGCTTGCATCAGCTTTTGCTTTAGTGATGTATGATGTTCTTTCCTGCAGGTTCTGAAGGCATTTCATTATCCCGTGACAGTCACATTGATTCAATTTGCTGTTGGGTCAGTGCTTGTTATCTTCATGTGGATGTTCAATCTGTACAAGAAACCAAAAGTTAGCGCTGGGCAGGTAGTTTATCAGTCTGTTTGTAAAGCTATTCTGGACACTTATTTTTGGGCTGTGGTTTGATGAAACTTATAATAAATTTTTTTTTACTGCTCTTTCACAGCTAGCTGCTATTCTGCCATTGGCAGTTGTACATACCCTGGGCAACCTCTTCACCAACATGAGTTTGGGTAAAGTGGCAGTATCATTTACTCACACTATCAAAGCTATGGAGCCATTTTTCTCTGTTTTACTGTCTGCTGCATTTTTGGGAGAGGTATATATCACATAATTTTCATGTGTTTATTTTTACATACATAGAATTGTTGAAATGTGAAAGATTCTCTGATGAGTAGGATTAGACATTGTTCAGCCAGTGGTTGAAGTATTTATTATGTTTTCGCTTGTGATTCAATTTATGTGTGGGTTAATTTTCATATCCTTCATTGCAGAATCCCACTCCTTGGGTTGTGCTTTCACTTCTTCCCATTGTTGGAGGGGTGGCTCTTGCGTCTGTGACTGAAGCCTCTTTTAACTGGTCAGCAAAATAAATTTCTGACAAGATTTTGTGCTTCCTATTTCCAAGGATCCCGCTGGGTTTTCAGCATGAGTATTATCTGAACCATTTGCTTATTATGTTTTTGTTTTCATGAAGGGCTGGTTTTTGGAGTGCTATGGCTTCTAATGTGACAAACCAATCCCGTAATGTCCTTAGCAAGAAGGTCATGGTAAAGAAAGAGGTAATTCCTTTTTTTTTTTTTTGTTGGATTGGTTTTTCTTACATATTGAGAAAGCTTCATAATGGGGAATGTCTTACCTTTTCCTGTTTCTTGGTGTAAGAGTAGTTTTCTTTATTTTGCACAGTACTTACAATACATTGATATTCTTAATCATTTGTTTAATTGATGTTTGAGAGTTTGAGTTAATTTCATTTATTTTCTTTGACAGGAATCAATAGACAATATTACACTCTTCTCCATAATAACAGTTATGTCCTTTATACTATTAGCCCCTGCGACTATTTTCATGGAAGGTGTCAAATTTACTCCTACATACATAGAAGCTGCTGTAAGTGTACCCTTCTGTAGCTCTTCGTTTTGGCCTGTTGGATTTTGCAGACTAATCCTCGTTATGTATTTGCTTATTCATTTTTTCTGTTTTGGTAGGGATTGAATGTCCAACAACTATATACAAGGTCCTTGCTGGCTGCTCTTTGCTTCCATGCTTACCAGCAGGTAAACCCCCCCCCCCCCCCAACACACACACACACACAAATTTTGTAATTGTGTTGTTTTTGCTATTGCAGAACATTTTCCTTATAAACTGTACTGTTATCTTGAATCTTGACATGCTTTCAGCATCATATCTTTGCAATGCCACGTCTCAATCTCTTGCAATTGATGATTTGTTGTTGCATGCTTATTGTGTCTGCTTTTGTAACTTTTGTTTTTTTTGTGTCTGCGGAATTAGTTTTACATGGTAGAATGTAGGAGCCTATGAATTGTTCATATATAGGAGCCATTGTCAGTATCTGCTTGTCCTGTCTCCATCTTTCTGTAGGGGATGTATTCCCAATGCTCCTGCCTCTCTGTATACCAGGAACCTTTCATTCTCATGCTCCACCTCACAATCTCAACCTGCTGTCAATGATCATAAGAGTGCCCTTTCCGTCTCCACTTCCTCATCCAACATTCTCTCCCCACCTTCTTGGTAGTTCAACCCACACATATTGGCCTAGGCTTTGAGGGGGTTTAGATGCCAAATCTGCATCTAATTTGTCTTTCCTTCTGCCCTTTGGTGTTTTGTAGTATCTAACTAGTTAGGGTATCTGGTCCAAAAGTTTATTATATGATTTTTGAAAAAAAGAACTTTAGAAAGAGTACGCAGAGGCCAGAGGATCACTACTTTTTTTGGTCCCTACAGTAAAGTATGCTTTTTTTGCATAGATGTGTACAGAAGCAAGTGAGGACATTCTTTCTTGCACTTGTTTTTGGCAACTTTACAGTCGGTAGCACATTGGTGAAGACTAATTATGTTTTGTAATAAATTTTTTCCATTGGGTTAAATAACATGACAGTTGCTTTAGTGTCAACTTCAAAATTTCTATCTATTTTGTACCATAAGGCCTGTCATCAAATTCGTGAGAGGTGTAGGCTTAGTAGGAATTTTTTTTTAAGGTTGGAAATTTGTTGTCATTGACAGTTCTAATTGTTGTACAAAGGAGATTTATCTACTGTATTGATTAACTGATAAATGTTGAGTGATCCTCTGGGATAGTAGTTCATTTGGAAAAAAACTTGTGAAGCCAAGTCTCGAGTTTAAATTTTATACTTGACAAATTTTAAAGTCAAATCACACCCTGCTTTAGAGAGACTATCGATTGTCTTATTTTGTTTAAATGTCTAATTTTTTGTTTGAATCTTTCAGGTTTCTTACATGATATTGCAAAGGGTTTCTCCAGTTACCCATTCGGTTGGTAACTGTGTGAAGAGGGTGGTTGTCATTACCAGCTCTGTTTTATTCTTCAAGACACCAGTTTCACCTATCAATGCTCTAGGTAAAGTTTTACTTTTGATGTGTTTATCTTTGTTCCTTTGTCTGCTTACTTTTATAGCCGACATCAAAGTTCCGTTCGCATCTTGTGCCTGAAGTAGGCACTTGAGTTTTTCTTTGTCCATAATGTTAATGCAATGGGTTTTCCAGTACTTACATGCTCCACTTTTACTCTTATTTACAGGCACTGGAATCGCACTTGCTGGGGTTTTCTTGTATTCCCGGGTAAAGCGTATCAAGGCAAAGCCAAAGGCAGCTTAATTTTGACTACTGGGAATGGTTATTAACTTTGCCTCATAATTTCTTTAGGCAAAGAATTTCATTTTCCAATTGGGAGGACTAAGTTCTAGGTCAGATTAGGCATTTGAATTTCTTCCTAATATCTTCCATTCAAATGCTTACGAGTTGTGTTTGATCGATCATTGAGAATTCTTGAAATTTCTTATTGACAAATAGGCAATCTTGTAGTTTTTGTTATTCTTTTTAAATTAGTTTTGATATGTAGAATCCAAGTCTTACATCCCACTATCAATCATAATCTGTTCATGTTTTTCATGCTCACTCTTTGCAATTCCTCTGTCAATATTTATCTATGTTTAAATCGAGTTTGATTAATTTTTATATCATTATCATGACAACAGAAAACAGAGATATGTATGGTAAACTAAATGCAAATCAGAATCTAATCAGGTCAGGTTATCAGAACTCATATTAGCTGAAGGCCTGAAGTCGTGTATATGCCTGTAATATTATTACCCTAACTTGTTTTTTGTTTTAAGATTTTTCAAAAGACTGGTATCGCGTGTTAAGTTTTATTTACTATCTCTTGTTCAAGGAGTTGGATTGACCAAAAGAGGGACTATTTTCCACATGTATGTATAGTTGTACTAAGTACATGTACACATAATGCCTTTATTTTTGGTAAAATGATACGGAGTAGGCGAGTATAGTGTATTTGAGCAAATCAGCAGGAAAAAATAAATAGCAATGGTCGCACCTTGCAAGGTACAACGAGTTTACAGGGCTCACCAGCTACTGTCATTAGGCTATTCTTAAATTACCTGAAACTGGGACTATAATCTTTGTTCCCCAAGTTTGAGGTACTGGACGCTAGACGTCCAGACCACAGGGGGCAAGGTTAGCAGGAAGCACAATTTGGGCTAGGTTGGTAGGGTTTATGGGCTTTCAATTTTTTTTGGTGCTGTGCTAGTTGTCTGTAAGAGGCAGTTTTTTTAACAAAATACAAAATTTTTCAAATATACTTCGTATAAGACTGCATGTTTGCGAATTATTACATTAAAAATTCTGTATTAGTTTAAATTTCACTTCCTTCGTCTTTTACTTGCTATCTACCATTGGACACATAGATTAAAGAAGAGATTATAGCGGTAAACGAATAACTTAAAACTGTAATGTTCCGATTCTTCTCTAATTCAAGCCGTAATTGCTAAGGAAAAGATATAGAGGTATATACGGAGTACTATATAGGCAACAAGCCCATCAATATGCTATGTCCCTAGCACCAAAAAGGATAATGAAGATGATTTATTGAGCATCTTATTCTGCGGATTTCTGTCTTTAATTGGCTAATTAGTGCTCCTATCTTGGCTGTGAATGAGGCACTTTGACTCGCTATTAAATTGGGGAAATAGAGCATAACAAAGTTAACTAATTTATTTAACATAAATACCTAATTAATCTGCAATTAGTGCCACATTTTACATTGTTGACTGATAACTTAATGTGACATTGTGAAGTACTAATATGGGAAAGGCTAACTTAAAGAGTGAATTTAGTATTCAAGATTTCAAGTGTATACTAGTGTTCTTGAAACAAAAAAGTTTTATTTTAGTCACTAGATATAGCAGAGTCTTAAGAGGAAGAATCCTAGGAATGTTATTTGTTTGTTTAAAGTACTAATTTACTTTGTTGTGTCAATTTTAAATACCAATGCAATAGCTAACATTTTCTAAAAACTTGTGCATAACCTTAAACGATAATTAATAGAACCGAAAAAGTATCCTATTGCTACTCTTATCTCGTAGAGTGCACAACAATAATCTATAGCATATATTATATTAATTTTTTTCAAGACAACTACAGTCAAGAACCATATAACAGAAATAACAACCAACAATTTATAAAAGTTTGACACACAAAACAACACAATACCAGTCAAGGCTCAAGACTATCCCTTAATACATGGTGACCATTGTTTGCTCCACTCTTCACCACACCACTAAAATACTTATAAAAAATAAAAGTTTTAAAACTATTTTGTTGACAAAAACAAACATATAATTATAACATACTCTCTTCTTTTAGAGATTAACATGATTAATCATTTGCACCAAATCAAACTCCATTTTCACCCCATTTTGCATCATATTTGGACCCAAATGCTCCTGGCATTCATTCACAATCTCAGCTAAGCCCTGCCCATCACTGCCACGGTTGTCGCCGGGTGGTGCATAGTCAAGCAGGGAGTCAATGCTACTCTCCTCAAACATCTGAGCATCAAAGTTGAAGTCAGGAACTTCACTGAAGTCATATTCTGGCTGCACTAGCTCACCCAAGCTCGAATTCGAGGACCCGCCGGTTGGATGATCATTTGGTGACTCAGTAGTAGCTTCCAAGGCAGGAGGACGATTGGCATAAGAAAGTGGCTTCTTTCTACAACCAGCATTGATTGTTTCAAGAGTTAAGCCTTTGATGTATTCTTGCAACAGAGAACTCTGCCTTGGGTACTTGGACTTGCATTTTCTCTTGGAAAATTGCCTTCTTTTGGTTGCATTCCAATGGTTTTTGATTGAGTTCTCAGTCCTTCCTGGTAGCAGCTTTGCAATTTCAGCCCATTTGTTGCCTATCTCTGTATGGGCTTTGATCAGGATCCTGTCTTCCTCTTCGCTCCACTCGTCTTTCTGTACAAGATTAATAGTCGCGCATGCTATTTTAGAATGTCTAGAAAAAATTAGTCACATTCTATAAAATTAATGTTAGAGCATATATTTCTGTAAATTTATTTATGTAATTAGTTTGTTAACCTCAGGCTAAACCCAAATCTCTTTGTATACATTGTGAATAATGTATAATAATGAGAAGCATGGCAAATATTCCTCTCATCAACTAGTACATAATACGTGAATCTAAAGATTTATGATTGTATTTAACTGAACTATATACCCTTATTAAGATCGAGTCACAGAAAAATATGTGAATGGTTCAACTATTATAAAGGTCGTGTAAAATTATGTCATCATATGCTAAAATATTAAATCAATATAATCATTATTTTTCCCAAATATAGGGGATTATATGTTTTTGGGGTGAAAACTATCATGTTTCCTTATCTTGCTAAGTATGGTGAATCAATGTTTATGTCTCTTGGAATGGGTTTGTTTGTTTGCTTTAAATGCCAACTTAAAAGCTTGTCAACTTTTTCCATTTAAGTTATAGATTATAGAAGTATTCTATATCGTTTTGTAAAAGGGCACATTTAAATTTGAATAAAATATATACTTGCATTTTTGTTATTGCTCTTAAGTATGATTTATCTTAGAAAGATAAGCTTTAGAGGAAAAATAAATGGTACGGAATACTACATGAAAGTAAAATGCTTTTAGCTAGCTTGACGGAAATACATGTGGTTGGCAAAACCAGTCAAAAGTCGGCTGTTAGTATTGGAAACTAAAACTCTTTCTTTTTTTTTAATTCCATTTCGGGTATAATAATAATAATAATAACTTTCAAAAATAAAATAAAATAATAATCCGTAATAATAATAATAATAATAATAATAATAATAATAATAATAATAATAATAATAATAATTATTATTATTATTATTCTTCAAAAAAAAAAACAATAATATTAATAATAATAAAAATCACCTCGACAGTTTATGTAAATTTATTGGTTAACATATTACGGGCGTATGGTACGAAATAGCACCTAATCCTTCATCGTCTTTATTTCTATAATTTACCATTGATAAGATGAAATTATTAATTTTTACGGTTAAATTATATAGATTAATTCGTTGGTTTACCTTTTTAAATTACTTCTTTTATTAGTGTATCAAAAAGGTGCGTTACAACTTGTTATTAGAAAATAGAGAAAAACAATTTAAATATCCAATCATGTCTAAATCATTGTATTATAATTTTTGCCACTGTTTATAATAATACACTTTGTTTTGGTGAAAATTATAATACACTTCTTTCGTTAATTTTAGTTAATATATTTTGACTTTTGACATGAAATACAAATTCTAATTTGACAATTTTTTGTATTTAGACATGATAGTACGCAATCGTGCATTGATGATAAGAAACATAAATCGTTGAGCTTGTACATTGACAAATGCGACAAAAGAAAAAGAAACATATCAACTAAAAAAGAATGAAAAAGTATAAAAAAAACATGGACTAATTTATTATTGTGCTTTTACATATTTACATTTAGCCTTAAGATCTATATCATGTAACGATCCAAATTTGTTTTTTAAGGTAACTTTTATGATTATTTTTTTATTAAATGTAAAGGATGACTCGGCTCATAAATAATATGGCAGTCTTAGGCTGTAAAAAACAATAATAAGGAAAGATAGTTCATGTTTTTTTTTTTTTTTTTTTTTTTTTTTTTTTTTTTTTTTTTTTAAGAAAATAAAATTTGTAACAAATGTTTCAACTTTTACAATTTATTATTAGTAAATTGGCATTTGGCAATTTGAATAGTTTCTGGCCTCTAATTGGATTATATGATGATGGGTGCGTTTAAAATTTCATATGATCGAGTCTTGTAAAAGCGTCTCAATGTATGTTTTTGTAATATTAAGTTTTGTAATTTTTACTTATTGAAGATAAGAAACATAAATCGATGAACTTTTTTTTACGGGATAAATCGTTAAACTCGTGCATTGACAAATGCCATACAAGAAATGTGTCAAATAAAAAAAGATTGGAAAATTATTAAAAAAAAAAGGGACTAATTTATTATTTTTCCATTACATTTAATCTTAAGATCTATATCATTCAATGAACCAAATTTGTTTTTAATTTTAAGGTAACTTTTATAATTATTTTTCATTAAATGCGGAGGATGACTCGGCTCATGAATAATATGGGGCCTTAGGCAGTAACAACAATAATAAGGAAGGATAGTTCACGTTTTTTTCTTTAAAATTTTTTGTAAATAATGTTTCAAATTTTACATTTTATTATCAATAAGTTGGCACTTGGCAGTATTTGAATAAAAACCAGCCACTAATTGGATTACATGATGATGTGTGCATTTAGAATTTCATGTGAGATCTTGTAAAATTGTCACAAATTATATTTTCATAATATTAATTTTCATAATTTTTACTTTTTGAAGTCATAAATTGTTGAACTTGTACATTGATAAATGCGATAAAAAAAACGTATCAGCTAAAAAAAAAAAGAAAAGTATAAAAAAATATGGTTTAATTTATTATTGTGCTGTTACATTTAACCTTAAGATCTATTATCATTCTACGATCCAAATTTGTTTTTATTTTAAGGTATCTTTTATAATTATTTTTCATTAAATGTAAAGGATGACTCAGACTCATGAATAATATGCCAGTCTTAGGCTGTAACTAACAACAATAATGAGAATTGATAGTTCACGTTTTTTTTTTGTTTTTTGTTTTTTTTTTTTTTAAGAAACTTTTCAATTTTTAGATTTCATTAGACCTGGCAATCCTGACCCAAACCGATGATCCGACCTAAATGACCTGACCCATGACCTGAAATTGACCCAAAAACATTGACCCGAAACTCGAAATTGACCCGACCCGACCCATACCCGACTCGAAAATGGAGTTGACCCGATCCTGACCCGACTCGAAATTGACCCGAAGTGTTTGACCCGATACCCGAAATGTCCCGAACTAAAATTACCTTATAATTAAACTTAAAATGTCTTGTACCAAAAGTAACTCAAATTGTTCATCTTCAACCGTAGCTAAGCTCATAAACTGAATTGATAGTTTTTATTATAACAATACCAAAATATATACTCCGTATAAAATTATTCATTTGAGCTTGATTCACAAATGAAACAACCTGAACATGACCCGACCCGAACATACTTGACCCAAAATTGACCCGATCCGAACGTACCTGAACCGAAATTGACTCAACCTGAACTTGACCCGAAGTTGACCCGAAACCCGAATCGACCGACCCATACCCGACCCAAATGTTATCTGACCCAAAATAACTCGACCCAGACCCGACCCGAATGACCCATTAGCCGGGTGTACATTTTATTATCAGTAAGTTGGCACTTGGCAGTATTTGAATAATTTCCGGCCTCTAATTGGATTACATGATAAATTGTGCATTTAAATTTTAAAATGTTTTACTAAAAACCAAAATGCAAGGTTGAAAACATAGCATGCATGGATTTATTGCATGTATATTCAAACGGTTTTCCTCTTCTATGCTCTATATAGTAAAAACTTAATTCCCTAAGTTCCTTAAGATACCAATTTTGACACTTGCGCTTATTTTATATGGGTTTGTAACGTTTGTTGGACTAAATAAAAGGCGACATCTTATGTAGGAGGAAACAAATTTAGCATACTTTCAAAAAAATAAAAAAATGTAATAAATGATTAATTATTTTTAGTAAAATAAATGGTGAGAAATTAATTTACCTTAATATCTGGTTTTAAATGATTATGCCATCTCTCTCTACATTGTTTTCCTACTCTCCTATTGAGCAATTGAGCAATCTGAGACCATTTCCTTACGCCATAGCGGTCCACCAACTGAATCAAGAGGCTACATTTGCATGCATAAAAATTCATTAAAAATAATAACCATAAAAAATAAAATGTATAGAGTTTAAAAATTCATATTCAATTCATAAAATAAAACCTATATACGTGCAAAAAATCCTAAGAAAATTTTATTAAAATGAGAATAATAGATGTGAAACTTTTTAAATCGAGTACGTATATTTTTTTTCCGTAAAAATAATCAAAAGTAATATTTTTTTAAAAATAAATTATATATGCTTATAACGAAACATTTAGTTCAAAATATTGCGTGTATTAGAAAAAAATTTGAAAATAATGACAAGAAAAAAAAACATGAAAAATGTTGATTGCTACTAACTCATCCTCCTCCTTAGACCATTGGCCCTTGACTGCAGTAGACTTCTTTTTGCGATGCTCCCTTCCTCCTTTTCTCACGACGGTTGTCGTAGAGAGACGGTTGGGAACCAAGGTGGCTGTGGTGACCGGAGTTGTGCATGAGTCTTCATCCGAAGGGCGGTAATTTGTTGGCCCTAGATAATCATAGTAGTAAAAAGGGTTATAGCCTTGAGCATTAGGACTTATCATGTTGATGGGGGTGATCATAGGAGAATGCCCTAATTCATTTTGATTGAGGTTGTCTATGAGAGGAACCAATGCAACATTATTTGTTGCATGATTCACAAAGGGTTTAGTCTCATAGAAATCAAAACTTGGAACACACTCAAATGGAGAATTATCATAGGACTCCATACAGTTTGGTTGATGAATAGGGTAAAAGGCATTTGGTGATCCATGGAGGTCGAGGTTAAGATCGAAATTCTCAAGGGGGTGAAGATCTTGGAGGAAATTGGTAGCACCCTTTGACAACAAAGCACTCTCTAAGGAGAACTGATCATCTCTCGGGTTTGAGTGATTATTTTGAGGCGAGAATAATGAGGGATGAGGAGAAAACTTTTCCCTAAATTTTGCATCAAAATCCATCAAAGAGGGTGTAAAGGGGTAAGAGAAGGAGCAAAAGGGAGAAAGTTTGGGTTGGTTTCAAGAGTTGGTTTCTACTATGCTCTTTTTTATTTCTCTCCTTTCAGCTTAAGGCAGAAGATATATAGAGGTGCTTATCTGGTGTGTTAGAATTCAAGAATTGTGGCTGTTGATCTCTAATGCATCCAATGGCTTAGCATGCTTGTCATATGTGAACACATTCAGATATCAGAGGATTCTAAATCACTTACAGAGCCTATCGTGATGTGTCACGTGGAAAATAAGTCTATATATTTATATTTTAAATATAAACAATTAATTACTTTCTATGTTTATAATGGTAATTGATGTTATTATCACACTAAGTTTATTTTTCACAACATTATGGTAATATTGGTCAAAGAGAGACCTTGACGATATTAATTGCATTATTAAAATGATTAATTAAGGATGAGCTTGGTTAAAACCGGCTAATGATAAAACAATATGATCGGTTCATTTTTGTTTTTTTATATTAAAACATGGTCACGGTTAGTCTTTAAATATCATATTTACAATGCAAATATAATTTTTGAAAAATATAATTAATCAAACACAAAAAAAAAAAAAAAAAAAAAAAACAATATTTTTTGAGAAATTATAAAATAAAAACTAATATAAATGTAACTAAAAATTAGATATATAAAAAAATGTTGTTAATACTATTTTATACCAAAACTAAAGAAATACAAAGAAAAATAAGTTAATCATGAACAACGTAATTATTAAAGTATTATGATAATCGTATTTCAATTCATCCCTATAAAATTTTCACACATATTCAGGTCGGTCTTTGCCTCTTTGGTTACATACTTACATAGCAACACTAGCTACAATTACAGTGCAATTATATTTAATTTGCTTCACCAAAAAAAAAAAAAAAAACATTGTTTAAACTTTAAAGTGCTTTTATAGCTCGCAATTTCCAAAATCCGAGAAGCAAAATCATTATTTGAGTTAGTGCCACAAAACATAAGCATGGAGTTGAGATAAATTACGTATGACATTTAAGTTTTTACTAAAGAAATTTTTATATAATTACAATATTACCCTTATTTATGCATTTAGTGGGACTTTACAAAGCTCCCTTTTATAGGGTAGGCAATGGAAAGAATACAGATTGAAGAAGTGAGCACACAAAATAAAGATGGAAATACAAATACAGTACAAATAAAATTTAATAAATAGAGGTGATTTAAATACAAACATAAAGTAATGTTTCTGAGTTTAATAAATGATTTCTTTTGTCCCATAACAACTTATTTTCTTTTTCTAATGTTTTCTTGTTCCTTTTAAGATTTAAACCTTCTGAAATAGGAAGCTAAATTATTTTAGAGACGGTTCGAAGTAGATGCCACTTACAATTAAGCAAGCAAAATGTTGGGGGGAGGGGGGGGGGGGGGGGAATTATATAGTACAAAATAAGTACAAAGTTTAGCGATATACTACTTCGTACTAGTTAAAAAAAAATATATACATAAATTTGTAATATCAAATGCTAGTAGGTTAAAATAAAAAATAAAAAAATAAAATTGGTATTACAAAAAACATTTGATCAAACTCGGCCCGTCTCAATCAGCTCGCTTAATTGTTATACTTAGACCTTTTAAGTTATATATACGTACTTAATAAATTAACAAAAAACATGCTTATGTTTGTTGCATGGACATTTTCCAATTGACTAATATTCTTTCTTTTTATGCGTTCTTTCTTTTTATATACTCCAACTTGTAGCTATTCTGTTAAGTAAATTCAGTCTTTCCCATTTTTGGTGTAGGAAAATCCAGCATATATTGTTTCATAAATGGGGAAACAACTCAAGCTTATCGGACATTTTATTCCTACTACGAATAAATGTCAAATTTACTAAATTAAGTTGTCAATTTCATGACCACCTTTGTCTTAAATCAGCAAACTTGTTAACAGAAATTAATGATCTCATTACATACTTATTGAATCAAATTTATAAGAAATTAATGATCTCATTACATACTTATTGAATCAAATTGTAATGAATGCTTTATATTTTCTTACGTTACATACTTACAATTCTATGAACTTCAATGCTCTATATAGTATCTAAAATATGACGAATTATTTTTGAATCACTTTCTTTAAATTGTCTTAAACATTATAGCATTATTTGTAACTTGTTAATGCACAACTTTGAACATATTTATCTTTGTTTTGATTTTTTTTTTAATATTATTATTATTTTTTTTATTTTTTTTGGGGTGCAAATAATAAAGGTATATATATGGTTATTGATGTATATAGAAATTAGAAAGTATGCCTTGAACAATGTTTTAGTGATGAATTGAAGAGGATTTAGGATCGGATTTGTTTTAGTTGGTCAAGGTATTTTTTTTTTAATATTGCTGAAAATTAATTCTTCCTTTGTTTATAAATAATTGCAACACTTTGATTAACACACTTGTCAATACACAAATTTAACCTTAAACATAAATATACATATATGCAATACTTATGTATTAGTAAAACTATGTAAAAATTAATATTTGTGTAGTATAAATTGAAACTAATGCGACATTATGTCATCTCTAGTTTTTTATACTTTGTAGTTCAAAATTCGTGTATATATGATGTAGAAGTCATTTGAATTTTTTTTGTACAAGTATTCGATCAGTAACAGAAGGAGTTGACAAATTATTAAAAGTTGTCACACGGACACACGGTAATAATGATATTATATTAATTTTTTTTCTTTTGACGATAAATCATATTATTAAATTATTAAGTATTTTGAATAAACTAATCTTAGTTCCTTAATCGAAATTCATACAAGTTTTACAATAAATATTAAGACCAACATAATACATACCATCAATTCCAAGTTTCCAACTATAAGTTTTGTCAAAAAAATAAAAATAAAAAATCCAACTATAAAGGTTTGATTGTTTCCTTGTGGCCGTTGTGGGCAAGATATGTTAGATATCCATTTCTTATTCTTAATGATGAAATGATGACTAAGTTAACCTCTAAACACATCCATTATAATTGTAGGAGGCTAATTAGGAGCTTTTTCTTGTTTCCAAACTAACTCTAATGACCTAGTAAATGTTGTGGGGGTTCAAGATCATCAATGACCTAATCCATTAGCCCGGTCCAGCCCGACCCCAAAAAAGTAGTGTTTTTGGGCAAGGATAATAACACATTTTTAGTTAACCTAAGTCCGATTCGAAAACACATAAAAAGCCCGTTTTAATTCGATAAATCTGACACTATTTTGCGAGATTTTATACAAAGACCCGTCCCAACCTGATTTTTTATACCTCTAAAATGTTTGTTGATATGGTCGTCATTGATCTATTTATCTTAAGAGATTTAATTAATCGGCAAGCTCATCATTGTTTGTACCTATGTTATCGGAACTACTTGATATGAGCTTCATGGCAGAAGCAATAACTTTTCATCGTGACGTACATTAGAAAAGGATATTCAATACAGATGGTAATCTACTTGTCACAAAGATTGTTCGAGGAATTTGGCTTGTGGCCCACATCATAGAAGAAGTCTGATTGTTATTGATTACTCAATAATTCCGAAACTCTAGTTTTAGAATCATAAGGTAATTGTTGTATTCCATCACCCTTTTTTTTTTATTTAATTTTTTTTATTTGTTTAGAGAGCCATAAAGGACGAGGGTGAGAATCGGTCCCAAGATCTCCTAGAATCAGGGGGAAAGCTCTCACTTGAGCTATCCCTGACTCTCATCACATATTTATTTGATGTGCTTTGTATTCTCATCACATTGATGGTTGTAATAATTCTCCCTTTTCAATTTCTGGCATTGGGTTAATTAACATATCTTTCTACATGCTTGTTGAGTCCTAATATGGTCTTATAAGAATAGATAAGTTCAGTTAAGTTTAGTTAAATTCTAAGAAGTCCTAATTCAAGTGAATAGAACCCTTAGTTGTTCTTAAACATACATGGAGGATCGCTAGATGATGAACTATGACAATCTTTGATGATTAACAAATCTCTTAGATTAGACGAGCTCAGATTATACAAATAAATCTTTGATGAATATAGATTGAAAGAACATAAGTAAAACTCATATTACCTTCAATTCCCTATAACTTTGTTAGATTTGAAGAGGGAAGGAGGGAAAAGGAGCAATTTTTCATTATATAGATGTTACATCGGTTAAGGGGAAGGGAGAATAATAAGAGGGATCCTTTCAAAACAAAATTAGCCTCAACAGCACCAACTATAAATTGGGTGCAATGAACAATACCACTTTTGACTTATCACCAAAATAGCAGCAAGTTTATCCATGAGCGCACCATGATTTCTAATAGCGATAACAGTACCAACTATGTCTATTTATAGTGTTGATGGTGCATAATTAAGGCGATGTTCTAGATACTTGTCAAAGGTGGTGTTGCTTTATTATAGTGACCAAAATCCTCCCGAAATTGGAATAATATTAAAGGAAATATCTTTATTTCCCCTTTCCTATCAAGCATCAACCAAAGAAATTTCAAATTGCACACAAGAAATCCTTAATACCCTTTCAAGACACTTATCATATTCAGGAATGTATGAAAAAATATGCTCTACTATCAGATTGAAATGATAACTACATGTGTATTTTTAGACCTCGTGGTCAGAAGTCATAGTTCTAGATACTAGTCAAAGAATATAACCATGAAATATCCACAAAATCTCCATACACCTTTCCAATGAATCAGTGTAAAGAAAATACAATATTTAAGTTATTTCAAATGAATGCCTATACAGTGCATTATGAACACTGTATGGTAAAAGCTTTCTCAGGGTTCTCTGAATCAATTTCTGAATGATGAGGGAAATCATAAGGCATACTTGGAGCAGAAAGACCAGCCTGGTTAAAGACGCGAACCACCTCTTTATACACAACTGCATTGCCTTCGGATGTCAGATGCAACCCATCACTGTCAATGAGAGAAATTATGAAG